TTTCATTTTCATTTGCAAGAGAAGAAAAGAAGAAGAAAAAACAGAAAAGTAAAGTATCTCTTCTGTCATTCCTCATCCAGCATCTCCTCACTTTTGTTCTGTGTATTTGTTCATTTTCTTCATCTTCCTCCTTCTCATCATCCTTCTCCTCCCTCAGACAAAATTGAATATTATTTGCTCTGTTCGCTCACTTTTACTCTTCACCATTGAGTCTATGCGTAAAGCCCCTTCACAGTTGAACATTGGGAGAATGGTGTTAGACTTTCATTGAGACATCATCTCATTGTTTCCATCACAACTAATCAAAGTTATTGAAATCATTTGTCTCTCTCTCTCCCATTTCCCACCCTCTCTCACTAAACATCTCTGTCTCTGTCTCTCCCTCGTCTCTCGCTTCTCTCACCAAAGATCTAACGATGATGCTATGATTGTCTTAACGGAAAGATGAGCTTATTTTACATTCTGTTAACTGTAACAGTTCAAATTATTATTCTTGTAACAATTTGCCAAATACCTTTAACCATCTCAGCGCCATCATCTAATCACAATTATCAAAGTAACAATCAACATTATGGATATAAAGAGAAATTACGATCTTCGTCTAAATCGACACCCAAATTGCCATCAAGTTTACCACCTTCATCATCGTCCACTTTTCATTCGGCATCATCTTCTTTACCCTCATTTTCATTCGCCTCTCAACTTGTCCATTCACCAATTAAACGGACACCTCGTGCAGCAACTGCTCGACCTGAGCGACTCTGGGATTACGGTGTGATTCCGTATGAAATTGAGGCCAACTTTTCAGGTGACCATAAAGCTCTATTTAAACAAGCCATGCGTCATTGGGAAAACTTTACTTGTATTCAGTTTGTCGAGCGAACACCCGAACATCCAAATTACATTGTATTCACCGAACGTCCTTGTGGTTGTTGCTCTTTTGTCGGTAAACGAGGAAATGGTCCACAAGCCATTTCATTGGGTAAAAATTGTGACAAGTTCGGTATTGTGGTCCATGAGTTGGGTCATGTGGTTGGATTTTGGCATGAACACACTCGACCTGATCGGGATAAGCACGTTGAAATTGTCAACAACAACATAATGTCGGGCCAAGAGTACAATTTCAATAAGCTTTCCGATGAAGAGGTCAATTCGCTGGGATTAACCTATGATTTTGATTCGATTATGCATTATGCTAGAAACACTTTTTCTAAGTCAACCTATTTAGACACCATTTTACCTCAAGAAGATACAATACACAAAACGAGACCCGAAATTGGTCAACGAATAAGGTTATCGAAAGGAGACATTTCACAAACAAATTTACTCTACAGATGTCCCAAGTGCGGTCGAACTCTTCAAGAGCCAAGTGACGCCTTTTGGTCTCCTTACTATCCAAATGGATCCAATCAAATTGAAAGTGAACATTGTGAATGGCGAATCACGGCAACTCACGGAGAACGCATTCAATTGAACATTACCGATCTGGACATTGTCTCTTCTTCTGCTACAGATGAGGTTAACGATGAATGTTTTGACAATTATATTGAAGTTCGAGATGGCTATTGGCCTAAATCACCTTCACTTGGACGATTTTGTGGAACCAAAACTCCGGACATTATCATGTCCACTGGATATCGATTGTTGGTTACCCTGAAAACGACCATCAACCAAGTTGGACATAAAGGTTTTAAAGCTCATTACGAAGGTAAATTGTCTTTTCCCTTTTTTCAACATTTCAATATCTTAAGGAATCTCTTTCATTGCAATCTTTTCTTGATTGTTGTCAAGTTGTGGTTCCTTTTGTTTGTTCATTCAACTATTACATTCTCGTTAATTGTTAATCTCAACAAATCTGATTAACTGTGATGAGCAAACAAAACGTAACTTGTTCATTTACCATTTTCTGGCCGTTCTTTCACTTCTTTGTTTTCCTTCTTCAATCCTCACACTCAGTTTTATCAAGTGCCATTTGATTGATTAGATTTGATTGACTAAGAATCTGTCTAACCATAACTCACCATATTCATTATCAGTTTTAATATTTACGTCAAATTGTCACTTAACTATAATAATTGGCATTATTTTATCAATTGTTAATCATCTTTTTAATTGGTTGAGATAACAAATGAAAGTAGTATATTAAAGTCCTGAATAAAATTATTGATTAGCTAAGTAAAGTTAATTGACACCAAGAGAAGGTTCCGTAAATGCGAAGAAACGCAACAATAATAGTTACAAGTGAATAAAAATATTGAATCAAAGTAGAGCTAAGCTGATTTGCATTTGCGATTCTCTTCACTTGTGCACATTCGTTCGGATCAAATTACGCATTTCCATGTTTATTTTATAGATATATTTTATCCAATAGATCACTGACATTTGACAAGTTTTTTTTGGTCTACAGTTGAGTGTAACTTTGCTCACAGTCCAAACTCTTGTACTTTCAAAGCATCATTTCCTACTTTTCTTGCATGATCAAGGTAAAAATTTCCTCTTCTGTTTCATAACTGATTCGAGTACGCATCCAACTTCTGATCGTTTCTGACAAAATTATACTTCGATTTAGAAATCTGATCGGTAAATCTTAAAGTACGTCAAGGGAAATTGAACAGTTCACTATTCAGTCAATTTTTGCTTAGAATTGAGATTTCGTTTGATTTACACAAACTATTGCTTCGATTGCATATTGAATTAGAAAGACCATTGTCTTGAGATTGATCTTTTGATGTTGAACAAATAGTTTCCTTTGCTCCAAATAGTCTGATGGATTGAGATTTATTGAATTATAACTTGAAGCTTGGACCTTATGAAAAGATTTCTAATTTTTTTTCGACTTTCTAATATTTCTTTTTCAATCAATTTGATAAGTTTACAGTTGTATATTTATCTTTGTGTTTTTTTTCGTGTTTTTCAGCGATTTGTGGTGGTGATATTGTTAGTGAAGAAGGAACTC